AAGGCACAGGCCCAGCCCTTTAACCCTTTCCTGTTTGTCACCTCCCATGAGCTGGGGCTTTCCAGCCCATGGCCCCGCTGCTCCTCGCCTTCCACTCCCAGTCCCTGGGCAGGGAGAAGGGCCCGGGAGAGGGAGGGCGCCAGGAGCCCGGCAGGGGAAAGGCGGAGACAGCTGAACTGGCTTTGGGGTGTTGGGAAGCGGGGCAGGGATGGCAGCCCTCTCTGCCACTGTCCTCCCTGCCTCTCGCCGGCTTCCAAGCGTCCTTTGCCAGGGTGGCCCCTGGAGATGGAGCACAGGGCACTGCCGGGTCCCCAGCAGAGGCAGAGGCACAGAGAGGGGTCAGGGGTCAGCACCGGACACACTGGACACTGGCCGCGTGCCCCCTGCAGCTGCCCTCCCCCCAGGGCTCCCCTTCCCCCCTCCCTGGGGACACTGCACACTCACCACATCTCAGCTGTGGGTGCAGGCTGGTGGGACTGGGTGGCACCCTTGGGGCTGTCAGGGCTTGCTGTCATCCGTGGGCAGTGCCCATAGCATCCTGGTGCTCACGGGACGAGGGACTCAAAGCCTGGGCCAGTGGACGGTCCGTGTGCCTCCGGGGAGCTGCGAGCCAAGAGCTGCCTCCCTGCCTCCATGCGCTCCCTCCAGCCTCCAGCCTCCCGCAGCTCTCACACTTCCTGATTTCCTTCTTTCTCTCTCTTAAAGAGACAGGCAGCTGGGCCTCTGCAGCCGCCCTAGCTGGCGGGCAGAGAAAGATGCTCTAAGTTTCCAAGTGGAGGCGACAGGACAAAGGAGCCTGAGCCACGAAGGGGCTGGGAACTAAGGCTGGGCAGCGGTGGTGGGCGGCAGGCCTTCAGTGACCGCCACCCCAAAGGGCCGGCTTTGTGTGGGGGGTTGGCAGCCATCCTTAATCTCTCTACGGCTTTCTGTTTGCGGGACTTGTTGCAATGAGCATATGAAACACTGCTACAGAACCAAACGTGCTTTGTAGGAATAATGTGACCTTACGCTCTATGGTCCAAACGGGGACGCTGGGAGAGAAAGTGGCTGCAGTAATAAAAAACAGGGCTGGGCCCAGAGTCACCGGAGCAGGTTGGGCTAGTTATCCAAGTGGAAGGACCAAGTTCCCACACCCAGGAGCCCCAGGGAGGGTCCGGCTCACCTTCCCAGGAAGCCCGCAGAGGCCCGCGAACAAGCACGGGGCCAGGTTACGCCCTTCAGTATGACCTTGAGCACAGCACGCAACCCCTCCCGGACAGTTTTGTCATCCAAGGCACGAGGATGGTAACATCTACTCCGCCGGTTGTGTGGATGACGTGGAACAATACTTCTGCAAATGCTTGGTGTTCGGTCTGATCAGATCATTGATCCCATATCCCCTCCCCTGGGAACTGACCTTGAGACCACTTCACAGTGGACGACCTGCCCAGAGAATTCTCTGCCCAGAAAAGGCCAACCTAGAGTCCTTTAAAATCTCCGACTCCCTGGTCCCTGGGTGCTGGTGCCATTTGGGGGCTCAGCCCATCTGGTTGTCCAGATGATCTAATAAATTCATCATCCTTTACCCCTTTCGGCCTCGTGCGCTCCTCCTTCAGGGACCCTAACGCTTGGGAGACAGGAAAGCCCCTTGCAGACCGCACTGAGGGCAGCGAGGCCCACACCTTCAGGGCTTGGCCCATGGCCTTCAGAGAATGCAGGGCTGGGCCAGGGGTGCCCATTCCCCACCAGGTCTCAGTGCCCCAAGGATCTCTCCCGGGAGGCTGAGAGGTCTGCCCCGCCCTCCTCGGCTCCGACGTGGCAGTTGGATAAGAAATGGTTAAAACCAGGGAAGTCCATGTTTCTAGAGAATGTCGGAGGGACTTTCCCAGGGCCACACCTGGTGGTTTCCTCTGGCGGCCCCACCCCCAGCACAGTGACTCCAGAGCTGAAAAGTGCCTCCGGCTCACATAGACACACCTGTTGTGACCGGCAGCCAGAGGCCCTGCCGCTGGGCCCTGCCCAGAGCTGCTACCCCTGGGCGTCACAGCAGCACCAAGAGAAACCCCTGAGATCCTCCCCTTGGCTCCCCCCAGGGTCCCCAGGCTTCCATCTGCAGAATCCCAGCCCGGCCCGCATAGAGCGGCACCTCCTGGGCACTGTGAGTGAGTGGAGCCCTGTGATTCCCCAACCAAAGCATCCAGTTGCTGATGCGAGAGCCCCCTGCCCTCTGACAGTAACTGTTAGACAAGGTCACTGCTCTCTCAGGATCCCTGAGTGACTGTCCGAGCTGGCCCCCTGCTGGCCCACCGGGGACTTGCAGCTTTGGTGGTTAATAACCTTTGCTGTGGAATAAGCCATTGAGGCTTGCAACATACTCTCTTCTAGTCTATCCCTAGGAGCCTGCCTAGTCTTCCCTGGGGAACCTGCTCAGCTCTCAGCACCCCTGCTCTCCCCTCTCCAGCAAGCCCGTCTCTCCTCCCAGTGTCTTACGTATCCTCAGAGCAATGCATGTGCGTGTCTGGCACCTACTAGGAAGCAGGCCCTGTGTGCTGAGGACATAGCGGGGAGACCTAGGTGTCCCCCAGGACAGCATGGTGAACTCTGGGACACATGCTGCGGCAGGTGGTGATTTTGTGAACCTGGCATGGGGGCGGGGGTAGTAGAGAGGAGGCGGGCTTGCCGGAAGAAAGGATGCCCCAGCCGACTTTGGAGAAAGGAGAGACAGGCAGGGAATTTGAGGCCAAAGGTGAGGTATTGCAGGCGGTAGGAGAAAGTAGGAGAAGAGGGGGACTTGTTCAGGGCATGGTGGCGGCTGGTGAGGATGAGGGTGGGGTGTGGGAGAGGTGGGAGCTGGGCTGGAGCCCTGTGCAGGGCCAGTTCCACTGGGCATCTCTGAGGTTACAACCTCTGTGTGGATAAGTGAATGAGTGTCTTGATGTCGTTTTGAGCTGCTGGCCCCAGCTGGGCAGCATGACCACCGTTTCACCTGGGTGGCACAGGAGCCTGGTGGGTCCTGAAGGGAGAAGGTCTGTGGGAGGCGTCACCACATGTTCCCAATGGCTCTGAGTCGTAGAAATCGAAGTGGCAATTCAGAGGCAGGATAAGGACCAGAGGTGGGAAGAGGGATGTATATATATAGTTGATTTCAGAGAGGGAGAGATAGAAACATCAATGATGAGAGAGAATCATTGATTGGCTGCCTCCTGCACGCCCCCTACTGGGGATCGAGCCTGCAACCTGGGCATGTGTCCTTGGCTGAAGTCGAACCTGAGACCCTTCAGTGTGCAGGCCGATGCTCTATCCACTGAGCCAGACCAGCTAGGGCAGAGGGGATCTTTATGGCAGCTCTCGAGGGACAAGCTCACGTCTGCCTTCTACGAAGGGAGGCCGAGTGTACACTGGGAGGAACAGGAACTCTGCCATCGTAGAGGTTTGAGTTCTGACTTGAGCACTTGCTCTGCATGACCTTGAGCAAGTCAGGACCTTTCTCAGACGGTTGGTGTGAAACAAAAGGAGATGAAGCGCCTGCTGCCTGGTGGGCCCTAAGCCCTGGCTGCCTCCTCTGTCCCTACACGGCTGGGGCCTGTCCGTCACAGCGGCCTCGCCGGTCCAGCGCCTACAGAAGGGAAAGGACCAGGGTGGGTGGGATGAGGAAGACCTGGGCAGTGCGACTCACGCTCATTGATGCTGGGCAGAGGGACAGGGTTCAGAGCCCTGCTCTTCGCCACGTACACCAGGCGCTTGGGTGGAGGAGGGACAAACCCTGCGGCCAGCCTGGCACCCCCTCTTGGCTCCCCGCAAGCAGTGGGAAAGGGGCTGTGGGAGCAGCACCCCTGAAGGAAACTGGCCCTGAAGCACCATGGGCGGTGTTGGCATGGAAAGTGAGCATTCCATTCTCTTAATTCTTCAAACTTCCTACTCACCATTCTCTCCCACTCTCTCAGCGAAGGCCTTTGCTTTCACAGGCATGAAGTGAAAGAAGCAATCAAAAGGGAACTCCCTTTCCTGCTCACCCCACAGCCACTGCCTGCCTTGCACCACACCTGCCTCCCCTCCCAGGAGACGGAAGTGCCTCTCCTCGGGCCCTGGCCAACCCCTCCACCTGTGCCCTGCCCTCGCTCGCCCTCGCCCTGGCCCCCTCCTGCATATCCACTCTTT